GTACACCGTGAATGCAATGCAAAGCGTGACAAAGATTCATACACTATGTAGTATTTGTAATCAACTAACAATGAAAACAATATTCCCCTAAAATTGTCTAATAACAACTACAAAATTTGCATTCATCACATAGAATGCATACCAGCCACATGAATAAACTGTAAATTTTCAAAAACAAAACAGAAACAACAAAGAGATCTATTGGAACAGAAACGTTCAGCAATACTATGAAACAGAACCCAAAGAGGCTCAAGATTGGAAACCGCGTCCACTGACGAAAACGACCATAAAAAATCAGGCCGGATTCCGCCTTGCAAACGTAATATTTTGACATCAGATCAACGGATTTTGCGGCATAGAAATGAATCAGTTTCGAATAACGTCATCAACAAATACATTCAAAAAGATCATTATTTCAAATGAGACGATGAAAGTTTCGAGTCATGATGTATTGCGGTAAGCCTTGTCCTCGGCCACCATTTCAAACAATCTGGATCCAAAAGTAACCGCGGTGGTCGACCGATGTTTATCGATCGACAGTGCTCCACTAAACGACGTGTCGTCCTCACGACATGATCTCCTTTCCAATATTTTATCAGTTGCAGTGTTTGCAGCGTTGAGATAATATCGTCTTCTGCGATTCGAGATGCTAAACTCAAATCGGATACCTGTAATTATCGATATCATCATTAATGATATAGCCCGGTACTACTATCGTTATTACCGCCGTCACCGTTCACTCTGCCAATAAGAGCACTCCTTACATTCAAACATCAAAATTATCCAATGTACTCAAACAGATCACATTCTCTACATCACATAACATTCAATCTACTCAAAATGAGCCACTAAATCAGATTATTCTTAAACGTCGGTCACTTCTGATGTAGTAAACGTATAATAACATTCCAAATTGTAATGAACAACAATACAGAACCATCTCAAAATATCCCAATTCAAAATCTCAAAATATTACTATTATATACCAAATATCCAACACAATACATCAGTCACTAATATCAATCAAACAACTCACCGTAACATCATCAATGTTCAATTCGTCGAGTGCCTCCAATATAACCCACCACCAATAACTTCGATAACTTACTTTACCCAAGTCCGATAGCGGTTTTTCCGGAGTGCCAATTACTCCTTCACGATTCGACAACTCGTAACCTACAAAACCAATGCAAACATTAATTGAAAAAGGCAAATTTTGATTTCGGAACATACTCTAAATTTTTTCATGTTCAGAACGAAAACATCATTCAAGATGAAATCGACTTCGAGAATGTTAGCAATATGCTCAATAGAGGAATAAGCAAATTAGTTCCAGTCATCAGAAACTTACTCAATTGGATGAGCAGTTTACCATATCCACGTCTCTGAAAAGGTGGCAGTACCATAATACAGGCAAGATTATTCGTCGAAAGTCGTTCTTTCGAGAAGTGACCAACACAGTGCGCACCCCATTCATCAACCTTACAATCAGAAATTACATTAGGTTTCCCCAATATCAAAAAACTGAACCAAATGTGAATTTTTGATGACGGGAACAAGACTGAATTATAAAGACTGTTGGAAATATGAAAAATTCATTCCACAATACTTTCGATGCAAGAATCTCATTATGAAGTGGGTAAATCTATAACATTACGCATTTCTCTTATTCGATGACCAGCCTTACTGACTCGAAAAAATGAAACGAAGAATAAAGCATTACGTAAACGTAAACTAGGAAAAGGTGTTATACCTCACACAAAACATAGAACAAAAATGTTTCCACATCGAAGAATAACGTTTTGTGATCCAGGAACAATTTCGATAACAAACATAAGCACTGACAATACGGCTGAAAAAAAGATGATACGCACTTTAGTAAAAAAAGAAATAAAACTCGTATTACAGAGCACAAAACAGAGCCAACTTCAAAATCGTCTAACTTGAAGGGGAAAACATTTTAGGCGATGATAGCCANGACAACCTAATCTGTGAAGAACGTGAAGATCACAGACAATTTCCATATGATCATTCGATCAGAAATCAACAATTACCTTGCTCGCTCGTCCATCAACTTCGTAAACTGACAAATTACCATCTCGATAAATCTCATCGCCCGGTGGCTGTCGTCGATCACAATAGTGCATCTAAAAACAACATTTATATCATCGAAAATTTTTCCGCAGAACAAAAAATGATAAGTGATTTACGTGACAAATTTGAACTGCTAACCATATGGCAGAAATGTTCCTCCTCACTCTTCATATACGCCATACAATATTCACAAACCCACAGCTTATGCAATTTGCCGTATTCACCTGGATATGGTGACACATACCACGTATCAATCTCATAATTTCCATATCTAATCTGTTCGATGTTTTTCACTTTTGTCATCTGTAATAATGAATATGCCATCAAAATATACCACCATTACAGCTTCAATCATCAGCCACACACTTTGCAAATAATTATTCAGCCATAATCACAAACAATAATGACAGCAGCTGACGAGAAAAAATAATTACAATAAACTTTACTTTTAGATAAAATGCTAACAACTGATTCTAGATCTTCGGAACGTAATTTGTGGAACACGTTAACTTCAGTTATCATTGAAGAACTGCTCAATTTGCACTCACCTCAGCATGTTCCTTTTCAAGTTTTGCTGTCGTTGCATCCATATCCTCATAACTTTTCTGCAGATGATTAAATTCCTCGTAAATTCGCCGCTGACTTCTGGTCATCGTGCCACCACTTTCCAGCGTACTCGCTAAAGAAGCTGGCACGGCCTTCAAATGACCACAAATATATTAATTGCAAACGAAACTACATCGAATATCTTCAGAGGAGAATAGAATGGAGTGAATGCGAAATACAACTAAACTGAATGACCAACCAAGACAGATGGAGTGATGTGGGCTGGATTCGCCCTTTCGATGATACGCTCACGTTCTACCCATTCGTCTAGTCGCCGATCCATACCATCATAATGAACATAATATTTACGTAATATTGGCTTCTTTTCATGTTGTTGACAGATCTGGTCAACTATTTCAGTGCTGAAAAATGACCAATTTGAACTCGCCGAGATTTTCTATTCGTTGACTCAACAGCTAAGTTAAATTATAGGGTATAATGGTTGAGGAAGAATAAAAGGGACCGGGACGTTCTCCTTTCAATTATTAATATTTAGTCGACTAACTTGGCGCAAACACAAAATAAGCATAAAGATCATGGAAATACAGTCTACCATGAAGCGGTGAAATTCACACTGTTCGTGATTATTAACATATTCGTTCTACCAGATAACGAATGTACATCTTTTGGGAGCTTTCATATCCTGCCGACATCATTAAATCCTTTATAAGTTTTAATACTTTCGGAATATGCAGTTATCCACCACTTACCTATCAGTACAACCATCCGATCCCGTTGTAGATTCGCCATTATCGGCACACACTTTATTAACAATATCTCGACAAACCCATCGCACATCAGTGTTCAATTTTGAACTTGTTTCATTATCCTCATCATAATCCTTAAAATATTCATTTGAGAGTTCTCGATTCTTTTTCCAGCGAACCTTTATCGTGGAAGCAAGTTTCCGCTGTGAACATTCATTCAAAAAAAGCAACTGGTTCTCTAATATTACTATGCATTTAATCAGCAGTCAAAAATCATACTCAGAATATGCCTCATTTGATCACTAAATATCATCTCTTTTACCCAGTGCGATCATTTCACAATGGGTAATGAAATACCACAATTCCTGAGAGCATTCATTTTCTACAACTTTGTACCCGCTATTCATTGAGGGTTCTCAAATCGGACGTAATCATCCTATTACATGCTGTGAACGCATATTACACAAAGGCATATCCTCGCTTTCCGTTCGTGAAATACATTGAATCCAAAAACTGGCAAAAAAAGAACCTTTTCGAAGCAGTCCTCAACAACAGCAGCATCAATTGCTTCCTGATCACTTCGCTTTTCAACCAGTGTGGCTAGACATCGCTCATTGGTGGTGCCATGAACGTTTGGTGCACGACGTAATACGATGAAAGATTCACCGATTTTGAGTTCAGATTGTGGTGTTAACGGTTGCACATTCTGTGTAGATGAATGCGCAACGGCACGATCCTTCTTGGATCGCAATCGTTGTGATTTGCTATGACTGTTGTGACTCGTTTCAATCATACCTTGAGCATTTCTTTACTGAATGTTGAAAAGTGACTAATCTGAGCAAGCTGAGATTTGGTAACGAAGAAGACAGCGAAGGAATAAAACTCGCCCTGAAATCAAAAACATATCACTAAAAGCTGTCGAGTTCAATTCTATAGTACCAGCGCAACAAAAATTTCGTTTAGTTTAGCGGTTAGACACAATAAATGTGGGCAAGCTGAGGTTGAGCAATCGTAAAATCAAGCAAAAGTGTCATAATTCAAGGGAATTGGAAACGATCTAGCAAGGTTACCGAATGAAGTGATAAATTGTCAAGAA